TCCTTCCCAGAAGAGCTTTATAGAACCCCATACTGATAAATAGAAAATAACCTGTCTGTCAGGAGAGGTGCTTTTTGACACAGTGTCCACTCCCCCCCCACCTCCCTGCACACACACAGTCTGATGCACAAACACTTTGGCCTTTTTAAAAAATGCTTTTGGCACATCAAGTGTCGGAAGGTCTTGTATTTCATGTAAGTGTCAAGTTGAGCCTCTGATTCCTGCATATCAGGCCCCAGAGAGGAGGGTGAATCAGAGATGCCTTCTGGCTTTGATAAAGACTGGTCTCAAAGAACTAGTGTCAGGAGAGTGAGATTTACACAGAAGATTCTGCTACCCTGAAAACTAGCTTGCTGTGTACAAGCTTTGGCGGGTGTCCCTCCAGCAATACTAGATTGCTAGATATCTCCCATCTGGAACATAATTGTCCAATGGTCCCTATGGAACAGCTAGTGTAGATCATGAAGCAAAAGCAGTCCAGAGACAAAAGCACAGGGCTGACAACTCTTCTAACCTAATAACTGTTCTCCCACTGATTTAGTTTCCCCTTTAGTCCCAAGTTTGAAAGCCAGCCCATGCAGGGCTGTGCAGAGTTTACCTCTGGAGATACGTCCTGTGTGGACACTGACTCTAAAGTTAAGGGTGCAATGCCTTTGTTACCTCTGGAGATACGTCCTGTGTGGACTGACTCTAAAGTTAAGGGTGCAATGCCTTTACAAGAGTGCAATGCCTCACTGGTGATTAGTGCCGGACATACCGTGCACAGAAATTTCCCATAGTATAGAGAAACCCACAGGCATCTGCAGCCTCATTTCTAACTTTATTGAAAAGCCTTCTTTGACTTCAAAGAAAATGGGAATGTTTCTGGAGTTGTTTCTCCCTCTCCTGCCTGGCAGTTGTATATCCTATGATGGAATTTCATGGGAATGAGCATTTCTCTGTGTTCTTACATCTTTCTGGAGCCATTTCCATAAAGAATTATTATTTAAAGTCCTGTTGATTTTATGTCAATGAAATTGTCAAGGACTTCATCATAAAGGTGTCCAAACAAAAGGAGTTAATAGTATAGATCTGGCTCACAGATGGCTTTGGGATAGGCTAGCTAAGGCTTGTCAAATGTCTCTCACGTGCTATAGAGAGGCAGGTCCTGTGAGTGAGTGGCCTGAAATGTAATCCTCTTTCTGTGTGGCTGACACTTTGCTGTGCACTCAGGGTGATCAGGTCTCACTCCTTTGTGTTTCCCATCCCAGTATTGTTTCTGAGTTCTCCTACAGATTTAATCTCTGAATCCAGCAGATACAGTCTAGCTCTGTTGAAGGAATGAGGGAGGGGAGAAGGTTTCTGTGCAATACATGCACCATGCATGTGAGGTAACTGTTATGGGGTTTTGTTTTGTTGTTTTTTGTTGGTTGGTTTTTGGTTGTTTTCTTTCTTTGTGTTGATGGTAACTAATGGAATTTTGATGCACAGGAGAAAAATAGGTGAAGACGGACAAGGAGGCAAAAGACAGAAAGGTGAGCAGAAGTGTTGTATGGGTGCCTCAGCCAGCCCCTCAACATGTCTTCCCTTCTCTACTGCAACCATTTCAAGGGAAAACAGAGATGTTATGGCAGGTTCTCCAGCTCCACAGCCAGAGAAATAACTGTTCTGTCCACTGGGAAGCTGGGAAGGAGGATTTTTCCTCCCCTCCCCAAGAGACTGCTATGCAAAACTTGTATGACTTGAGTGAGGAGAGCAAGTGAAAGAGAATGCTCCCCCAGACAGTGGGAATGAGGAGAACAGCTGACAGCTTGCCATGTGCAGCTTGCAGATCTCAGCAGTTTATGATACTGTGGAATGGATTTTGAAGGAAAGGAGAAATAAGGCTAGGAGGTAAGGGAAAAATAGGACAACATGGACCATCGTTTGATCAAAGGTAAATAGCCTTCTTGGGGCATGATTCTGGACACTCTGGGTAAAAGAAACATAGCAGAAGTTACCTACCTGGACTTCAGTAAGGCATATGATACAGTGTTCCAGAAGAAACAAATGAGTGGAGAAGATTCAGCTGAAGTTAGAGAAATCCTTCAATGGGTAAGCGACTGATAGAACTGAGACACTGGTTCCCTGATAGGTTGAAAGGAAGTTATCTCTAAGGCTGCTCAAAGTTTGCTTTTAGGACTGATCTTTTTTAATATTTGTGTTAATTACCTTGGCACTGAAAGTAGAAATGCTAGTGAAATCTGCTGATGAAACAAAGCTGGGAGGTATCATCAGAGCAGAGGTGGATTCCAGCACCAGGAGAGGTGAATGCTTTTTGTGGCTGGAGTCATCTAGGTGAGGTAAAATGGGATAGTGCAAAATCACACTTGGAACTTGTTGCCTGGAGAGTAATAGGAATCTCTCTTAGCACTTGGGGGTTCCTAGTTGGCAGGACCAAGAAGGGGAAAATCTTGGGTGAAGGTCACCAAAGGAGGAGGAACCAGTGATGCTATTAAGGGTGAAGAAGGCAAGTGAACTTTCAGGACGTAGCAGTATTTCCAGTTGCACTGAGTCAGATCAATGTCATCCAAGAGGATGTGAGACCCCGCCAGAATAGTGTGTGCAGTGCTGCTCACCCACATTCAAGAAAGATATTCAGCCTGGAACAGGTGCAAAGAAAGGCAACAGGGTGATCAGAGGGACAGAGGGTGCCTCTCAGCCAAGAGTATTGTTTACTTATCAGTCACAGAAGTGACTGCAGAGAGATATTTGAGCTGATTTGAAAATAGATGCTGTACCAGTTTGAGCCTTTCTGCCTTAATTATTTTGCACTGAACTTCATGCTTGTGCAGCTACCCAAGGTAATTAAAATACGGTGTGATGTGCCTGCAGGGAGAATACTATAAGGGAACTTAGTTACTTAGTCTGGCAGAACAAAGGTTAAGAGAGAAGAGATTTACTGCCTATAAATACTTTCAGGAATTGGGGGCTGGGCAAGTAAGTGCTAGGGAAAAAGGGAGGCAACATAAG